TGTCAATCATTAAACTACCTGTTTACCTACATAACTACACTAACCTTAACAAATGTTCAAAGCGAGCTCCTTCTCGTGTGATACACAGTTCGGCACGTTTACACATATTGTCTTTCACACGATTTAATACGAATGGGTCACTTTTAATAGTTTTGAAATCACTATTGATTTTTAATTTCAACTCCTCTCTGTTTACATACTCTGTAGCATACACAAGACGTTTCCTTGGGCATGTGTTGGAACACGGAACTGTCCGAAGTCTCGTAATCTTTGATTAGCGTTTAAGATGACGCTGGCCGTAGGTACTCGACGATTGGGGAACATCTCCCGGTACAAATTGATTGCGCCCCGCAAGCTTTCATTTGCACGCGCATACGCATGAACCATGTCCAAGTATTCTGCATTTGTGTATTGAAAAGCCATATTTAATTACTAATAAGTAATAACGGGTCACACGCACACACGACAGATTATTATTAGGTATACGCGTAAGATCGATCGCTAGGCGCGCGCGCGGGAAGCCGAACGTACGGACCTTACGGCGGCGCTGGCGCGACTAATAGCCGACTAATGGCCCGCTAGCCACGGGGCGGGGGTTGGGGAGTAGCGACACACTGGCGCCGGCAAGGCACGTGTCCAAACTTTATTTATTTATACGGAAATTTGGTCAAAAATTAAGTACCTATTTTTTTTACATAATTCGAATGAGAATCATGTACCGAGTATGCTCCTTAAATATTGATAGTAACTCACCAGTCACCCTGTAGAAGTGAATATAATTACGTAAATGCAATTAATTTTAGACTACCCAACTAAAGACCCCTTAAAACATACATTTTTTGTTGCTGAATATACAGGGTGACTGGGGAATTACTATCAATATTTAAGGAGAATACTCGGTATATGATTCTCATTCGAATTAGGTATGTAAAAAAAAATAGGTACTTAATTTTTGACCAAATTTCCGTATAAATAAATAAAGTGTGGACACGTTCCAAGTGTTCCAAGTGTGGACGCGTGCGGCGGCGTACTGATACAACACCACGCCGCCGCTCGCGTGTGTGTGTGTGTGTATACCTAATCTGTAGGGTGTTCACACGATGCGTAATTAATTACATAACTTTTGGTTAACTTTACTTAGAAGTTTATGAATATTTATGTTATATTAATTTTTATTTTGTCATATATGATCGTCAAATATCACGTCCTCAAGTATCGATAGTAATTTACCAGTCACCCTGTAGAATTACAAGTTACTAGTTACATATGTCACTTAAACATTCAGTATAATCACATTGATTCATACAAATAGCGTCCTCCAAAAATCTCAATTCTCAAAACTCAAGGCATGTTTTGTCCGCATATGCCTATTTTTTGCTATTTGTTACAGTAGTCGAGTGCGTGATAGTTACGTAAGCTGTCTAACAACTAAATGAAAATGTCTATTTTTTGTTATACCATACATTTTTTTTTGTTCAAATATTTGTTGAAGACTGGATACGAGAGCGAGGAGTCATAAGAGTGAATTTATATTGAATATTTTCATTTATTATTTGTTGGATTTAAAGATGTTATGTTTTAATCTAGATAATATTTATTTTGCAATATAAAAATTCGATAAGTTGCTTTAAAAGCATACCATAACATTACAAAGCTAAATAGTATCTATATAGGTGCTAAATATTCTAACTAGTCATAACTAAAGTAATTAATTTGTGAATAAAATGATCTTTTAAATTTATCAGTCAAAAGTAAGAAATGGCCAACTTATTTGTCATACCATCGAGGGTTTTATTTCTATAAATAAATACTCTCAACTCTGCGGCTTACATAAAACTAAGTACCTAGTAAGTAGTATTTCTTTCCTTTTATACAATGTACACGGACACAGCTTCTTTTCTTTTAAACGAATCACTTGTAACATCCGCTAGATGGCGCTATTCATAAAAATTACAATCAAGTTTCAGCAAACATTTATGTATGTCTATGAAAATATATGTAATTCCAGCTCAGAAACCTAGTAAAATAGGTTTGGAATATTAAATAATAATTTTATGACGACTAAAATTTCATAAAGTAAAACAATTGTTCACTGCAATAGTGCACTAGGTATTTGATTGTTGCTAATTCTGAAAACTTCTCTTACATTGATCAGGCAGACTGAATAGAACAATTTTGTTTTGACGTATTGATTTTTATTCAAAGTATAAATAGAAGTGAACATAATAAAGTCCGTGCTTAATTTAGAAACAGTGGAATATTTTAAATGCCAGCGAGCATCCGATGGTTTTAATCTTTATACCATTCTGATATTTCCATTAATCCAATGAAAGACTGACGCGACAGCGTGGAACTAAAATTGCACATTTAAAATAGATAAAAAAGACTTGTCAAGAACATGCCAGCGAATTTATTTCTTGTCACATGTAGTTATAGCTTGAGTTTGAAATAAATCTTTAATGAGATATCTTCTTGTGCCTCAGAATTTTGAACGAATTCACAGAATAATATTTTAATAATGACAGACATCAAACATGCATTTTAATTAAAAAATTATTATCGTCATTGTCTTGACCTTACTTTTTACTTTTTAATATTAGAAATCCACTGTTACTGAACGTAAATTGGAATTACATTTTAAAGTACGACATTTATGTCAAAGTGACAGATATCATATTTGACAAGATATCAAGGAGGATTTTTCTATAGAGGTTTTAATAGATTTTTTTTCAGTGGATAATAATTTACTAGTTTACCACAACGTTCTTTTATCAGCAGCTTCCTGAATACACAATGTAAACAAAACGTTGCATTATATTTTTTTATGATTTAAGATTTATGTGTTATGTAATATTCTTCATTACCTACTGACGTTCAATAAATATTTTATGATCGATATATACAAGATTCTAAGTTCTAACAAATGAATGGGAATAAGTACCATCATTTGTCATTTGAGTCATATGTTTTATGTTATTGTTTTATATTATTTAGTACATAAGAAGTAAATGCTGGTTGTATATAATATGAGACTTGATAACCAGGTGTCGTAATATTAAATACATAGCGTCGTGCTCAGCTGGCTAGGGCGCGCGCCGATCGATTTCCCGCTTCAAGGACAAGGTCGGTGATGTTAAATTGTTGCCTGTATTCTAGTTTCTCATCTGAACACTGAAATCCTACATAGTCGGATGTCACTACTGAATAATTTGTAGGAGATTATTTAAACTTATAGTCAGATTCCTTTCGTATTGAAGCTTCTTTAGTAATCTATATGTAACCTTTGACCTTTCTAAACTTTATTAGAAGTTTTTTTATATATAAAACTGTTGTATGGTATATATGATTTTATATAGTTTAGAATCTTCCATTGTTTATTGTTTTGATTGGTTATACCTAGTTGTTTTATGACCACCGTTTAATATGATTCAATAAATATCCGATGATGAATTTTAATTATATTTTCCTACTAGCTTTCCGCCCGCAGCTTCGTCCGCGTGGATTTCGGTTATATCGTGTTTCCAAGAGAACCAAGTGTTCAAAAGTCTGGGATAAAAATTACCCTTTGTTCTTTCTCAAGGTCAACTCTAACTCTGTACCAAATTTCATTAAAATCAGTTTATTGGTTTAGGCGTGAAAGCGTAACAAACAGACAGAGTTACTTTCGCATTTATAATATTAATACGGTTGTAGGTACATTGCAAACAAAACATTTGTTACGTTTAAATAAAAATTAGATAACTTCTTTGAGTTTACGTCAATATTCTATAGCTCAACGGCCATTGCTTGTTACAAAGAAACACGTCCATATTTAGATGCCAGCAAATATTTATAAGTATAAAACAGTGTAATTAGATTTATGATGAGCTTACGAAACGTTCTAAATAAAATTTCAAGGAAGTTTCTTTTTCTCTAGTCATAAAAGAATTTATATGGAAATAGAAAAAGAATAGTTATCTGACAAAAACAGCCGACAAAATTAACAGATTATATGTATATGAAATAAAATAAGAGTAATTTGTGGCATTTTATCATGGTAGGTACTTCCTAATTTCCGAAGCGAAACATTTTTTATTACTCACATATAAAAATACTATGACCCTTAAGATTGTAATTAAAAGTGAATTAAAATGAAGGTAGGTGATATAATTATTGTCTTTAGATTATCTTGAGGGTAGGTTCGTACTCACACACCTTCAATAATATTACACATGTATTCTGTCTATCTTAACTATTTATAAGAAATATGTCATACAAATATGTAAATAGACGTGATTAAAATTAAATATAAGCCACCCGAGCCACGCTGACGTGACATTCAAAGGTGAACCGTCAACTGTTTCAACTAAATAATAAATCATTACAGCATATCAATTTTGTACACGTATGTATGTGAAAGCAAATATATTTAAAAATAGCTAGTGCATGTCATTTATCATCGTTCATTTGTTTATATTTGTATTTTTTTCCGTGTTTTATATTTAAATGGTAATAAATATGGGCAGTCAATTATTGTAAGTCAAGTGGGACCTAGCTCGATGTCGGCTAGGAATGCTAAATGAATGTTGGCGCATGCGCGTTCACCATCGATCTCTGAATGCCCCCACAACCCAACTCCTACCGCGTAGGAAGTACCACCTAAATAACTTATTTTGTAACTCAATGCCGACATCCGGGTGGTACAAGTCAGGGCGGAATCTATATGTTTAATATATTATAATTATATGCTTAATATATAATACTATTTCAGCATTAATTTGCTTTTCTCTTTTAAGATTTTTTATGTATTGTTTGAACGTCATTCAATCTTATTTTATTGTTGTATCGGTTTTATATAAGAGGTTTAAGATATCGTCCAAAAAGACGTTAAACGCCAGGTATTTAAAGAATTATTTAATATGATGGTCATGGAAATGTAATTCAATTTCGTCTAAAATGTTGCAAAGCATCCCGGCATATCTTAATAGTATACCGCTCGACTGTATTAGATTTCATATTAATTATATATGAGGCTGGCACTTTAAAAATGGCGAAAGGGTTGGTGGTTTATATGTAGCCGGTGGGGTCGGGCGGGGCGGTGCAGCTGCCAGTGCATCATCCCGGAGCCCCCCGCCCACGCCTCTCCCCCGCCGCGCCGAGCCAATGCCAAGTTCAATGCCAAGGTCATGCGCGAGCGAGTGCGACTGCGCGCCGCAATGCAGGAGCGGCCGGCGACGCGGCCCGCCGTCAGTATAACGCCGACTATGCCGCATAACGCATCGCAAATGTACTATATTAACAAACGTACAACATACATTACATCCAAACTGGAGTATCCATAGTATTCTGGTGTTTGCAGGTGCGATGCGCAGCGCTAAGGAACGGAGCGTGTGAGAATCCATCGTGTGAACATGTGCGTCCCCGCTCGACGGGAGCCGGTTCCAGTTATGCAATAACTTTCAAAAATGCCGGTAAGCATAACCTATATTACTTTCATTGGATTGTGAGATGCAATTTGTTCGGAAATAGCCCGTTATATTTCTAAAATATTTATATTTTTATATGTAGGTAGGATGAAAACTAAAAATCGTTACGCTTATTTCGTAAAAATTTCAATTCTCGCATGCAGCATAACGTGTCTAAACTGCAAAAATTTTATTAAAACATCAAGAGCGTCAATTTACGCGTCACGGTGGCCATATTTGTTTTAGACAAGACATAATATTTAATAGTGAACATTTTGCGTTAATGGCGGTATGCTTATGAATTGCCTTATCTATCTGATACTGTTCGCCTTAGACAAAATGTCGATTGTCTATTAATGAATGAGATTATTATAACCATTCATGTTCAAGGAAATGAATTATAATATGAAAACAAAAACAAAAAACACAAGAAATCTTGGTTTAGCTAAGACTAAGAAATACGGACACAACTATTTTAGGTTCGCTTTCAAAATGGCTGCCAAATTTTGAACAGCCCATCAAGAAAGGGTTTAAATACAGATATAGTGTATCCTGCTGTGTATGTGGCAAAAAATGTCGAATACAAGTTCAAGGCGATCGGGTGATCCCAACTCGCTAGCTTCGGTACTGCTTAAAAAATATGCCACTAATAAATTATATTACTATACCGTCCTTCTGTATGAATATTTTAGTTGAATTTGTCTTTTAATATGAAATAAAAGTACTTTGTGGTATATTCTTTTTGTTTTCTGAAGATGATTAAGATAATAATTGGGATTAAAGACATTATATCTTCGATTAATGTATAGACTTTTGGAAGTTTTTAATATTTTTTTTAAAGCAAGCATTTTCCGGTTACAATCTTCCGCTTTCAATATTTAAAATCGTTTAAATTTCGTCGCAGCCATTTTGTTTTTTAAAGATTTTTTTGAAACTACCCCACAAATGTTTCATAATTTTTACAGTTGAGGATCAAGTCTTTATATTCGATTGTATTGGAATAGTGTTTGTTATAGAAAACTTTACCATTAGAGGCCCTCTACGTCACTTTGCCTTGAACCCGTGCCTACAGAACCTGAATATCAATAACACCGCGAAATTACTATTGTCGCCACGAATGTTCACGGCAGTACGTTAAGATATTCTATAATGATATTCCTAGACTTAATATTTTAATTTAAATTCTTATACATTTTCATAATATCGTCTACATATAATATCCCGTCTGTATATCAAGAAATTGAAACACAAGTAATCATTGTTTATTACACAATCTATAAATGAATCGACATTAAAATAGTTTCGGTTCTCAGGAGCTCCCCGATTTAACATTCCGTCTTTTGTTTATTCTTATCGTATGCAACCTTCACGGATATAATGAAACAATTTTGCATTACTGTGGCTGTATAGGTTCGTGCATGATATCAATAATATCAGCTGACGACCGCGTCATATTGACAGCGTCACCAACATGGCGGCCAAGATGGCGGACTGTTTATATACAATATATTAGTCATATGCGAGTTAGATACAAAGTGCTTTAAATATTACAAAGCGCTATTTTTATTGTAGTTACGTTAATATAAAACTGAATGCAGATGATTTTTATTTCCCTTACGTCAGAATAAATGTTTACGTGTAATGCACTTAAAAGATTGAAAACGAGTTTCAAGATTTGTACGAGATTTTTGTTTGTTAAAATGAGTTTGAAAATTATTTCAAATCGAAATTAGGTTTAGTTTATGCAATATATGATATACGTACTTACAATTTTTTTTTAAATTAATTTTCACATAAACACATTTTTTAATAAAATTTTGTTATAAATATATGTAACAAATCCAAAATGATTTCCATTAAGTATATTAACTGATTACTAATACTTAAACTGTTTATATGAAATTTAAATCCTATTTATATTAAATATAAAAAACCTTTTTGAATTGATAGGCGGAAAATATAAAATTTATCCTACATTGAGAGAATAAAAAAAAGTATAGTCAATTTTTTTTTCTTTTTCGGGGTAATATTGAACCAGGCCTAATAATAAATTATTATACAATCTATATGATGGCCACACACGATTTGACATCACTTCAGATAGTCTATGCCTCTTCATCCTTCCGTCAAACCAGGATGTCACGGAGTGCATATTGTTAGCAAAAACCATTGCATCATCCTCTTATGTAAAACTAGTAAAATTATAAAAAAACTATATTTTTCATATAAGCCATCCTTTTTACTAAAAGACACAAACTATTAATTTGTATTAAATTAATTTAAAGAATGAATTAATATTATTTTAGTAAGCCATTCTTCTTTTTTTGTCTGCGGATTTTTTCTGCCAAGAACTTATACAAAAAGTAGAAGTGCAAATAATATTTCAATTTGATTATATACATATGTATAATAACTCCTTCCATCTGTCTTATTATTGACTGCTTGTTGTTTAAAATAAAGATACCTATAAGACGTATTACCCAACTTCCTAATCTTAACTGAATTATTTAAAGAACCAAGATATTGTTACTTCAATTAATATCGTTAAAAATATCTCTAACAAATTGCTATAAGGACTTCTTTGTCTAACACGTGCCGATATTTCTACCAAAGAATTATACATATATTTAAAAAAAAACTCGAGCAGAGTATAAATAGATTGAAATTATTAATCCTTGGAGTCGTTATTTTGTGTAGTGTATCTATTTTATTTATATTTTTAATAATGGTTCGAAAAGTAATTTAGGAGTCGTATCTCATTCATATTTCCATTCATTCATTATTACCATAGTGTTATTTTTAAATATTCACTCTTTAAAAAAATTATTGCTTTTTACTAAATAAGAAAAATGCATGTAGAGATAAATACATATTTAATATAAGTAGTAAAATGTATAGCTTTATGTATTACACCAACAATGTTTGCACACTCACACGTACAAGCTCTGTTTGTGTGTGTGTGTGTATATTTTGTGCATTTACATGCCCAGACGCACACATGCACGAACCCTTTTAACTTTGCACGTGTCGTGCGTTACGTAGAATCAGCACGAGAGTTGGCAACATTTGATGTCACAATGTAACGCTCATAAATATTATTCAGACAGGATTTAATTAATATCATAATTGAATTAGATATAGAAATGTACTTTATTAGAATTAGAATATAATCGTGACATCGGCTGAGTAAATTTTTCGTGGTATATTTCTTGTATTTGGAATTCCATATTTAAATTATAATAAATGTCATAAATGTTATACGTCATAATACAAAAATAATTCTTGTGAACCTCTGTGCAAGTGTGTCTGTGTGTGTGTGTTCTGTGCATGTGTTTGTGAGTGCAAGTTGCACATGCGCGTTAATGGGAGGGGCGAGACCTTGGACGCGCCTAGCAACAGCTCCGCCGGCGTTTATTTATAACGTCTGCGATCTCTGGCAAATTTTAAAATGTTTATGGACTAATGGGAATTTGACCTTTTGTGCATTCTTAGTCCCTTTGTGAATTAAGATGGATCGCACGTACATCGCATCGTGCTGGTTATATTTGTATTAAATAGGTTTGTTGACTGTTCTCTGTTTACATTGGAATTCGAGATTTTAGATATCTTATTCTTATATTCATAATGAAGTCCTTTCTTATATAATTAGTGTTATTAATATGTATTTATATTTTTTAAATAGTTATAATATTTTAACTAAGCTCTAATAGAACTGTTGGTGTATACTCTACATATAGGTATAAATAATTGAGAATATCTTTATTTTCTGTATGTTTATAAATAATAAATATGAGTTAGTACTAACCATTTAATATTGACGAAATTCATTTATCAAAAGATACGAAAGGCTGTTTTCAGACGCAGGTCTGTAATAGGAAGCAAAGCGGAGTGAAGCTATAAAGAAATGCACATAACTTAGTCATCATTTACCTACCACATTTTGCCACCTGTAAATTTTGAGTATTGAAAAAAAAAGTTGCATAATTATTGTGGTATGATTTGCTTTACGTAAAACAATGCGTTTTTTACTATAGCAAAATAAGGCCATATATCGTATATATGCATTTCATCTCTAATATTCAGGTACAAATTATGTATTTTTTCTCGGAAAATGTTTTTTAAATGAATTTGTTCTAAAACTAGTTCGTAGGACTCAGTCGGATTTATAGGCAAAATCTTTAATCATATTAAAAATAATGTTTCACACAATTCCTCATTAGTTCCTACGGAATAAAATAAAAAATATTTCTGTAATTAAAATAAAAAATAAATAAATAGTTTTATCACCATTAAGGTTTTAATCATTCGAAAACAAAGGGTGAGGAAATCAATCATATGTGTATTTTATATAAATTCCTTGCATAAGAAATGCATTGGTTCGTAAAAAATAAAACCGAAAGCTTTTAACTTATCTATAATAAATATTTATTTGTATTTACGAACCGAAATTCCTAACAAAGATTTCATTAAGAAACGTAAACGAATTAATTAACATATTTAAAATTAATCAAATTTTATGTACCTATACATTCTTTACTTCTCAGTATGCCGAGATTTCCATCTGAACGCATTTAAATTTAAAGCTATATTGCTACCATTTCCATAGCTATATAAGCTGGTACATTTTAGTGCTTGTATCCAACACTACATAATAGCTTAATACGTTTCTAGCGAAGCATCGAAGCTGTAATATTCAAAAAGGAATTGTGGAATAAAAAATTCATAGACACGATTTGGATGCGGACCGGCAGATAGCTAAATTGGCAAAGCGACTGGAAAGTATTCAAGAGGTCGCGGGGTCGACTCCTGACCGTGTCGGTGAATTTTTCATCATACGTCATCTGCATATTGAATTTTACCTATATTAAAATCAAATATATAATTAAAATAATTATATTTATTCATATATACTTACATAAAAAATTAATGAATATAAT